TAATAGCAAAGTTAAGGTAGAAAAAGTCCGGTCCGTCAGAGGCACACCGGGAAGTCACAGAAGGCTTCCTGGTGGTGGTGCCCTCAGAGCCATGTGCTGGGAGAAGAGGAGTAGGCTAGTGAAGGATAGCGAGTGATCATAGCAGCAGGGGATCGCAGTGCGGAGGTCCCACCGACTCTCAAACCATTTCCAGGAGCTGACGGCAGTTATCGGAAAGGGATGGTGGGCACTGGGAGTCAGTCCATCCTCTGGGCCAAGATCCCGGGAAGCAAGCTCTGAGATTCTGTGTCGTGTCTTGTGCTAGTGGTCCAGGCCTAAGGGGTGGGTTCATATGACGTCGGGACTGGGTATCGAGGGGAGAGCCCTGAGGAGGTGGGTCCTGTTTCTGACTTGGGTGACTGACTGTGGACGGCGGCATGGTTCCCCACAACAGGGAGAAAGGAAGGACCAGGTTTGGGGGAGGATGAGAGGGTAAGTTTGGGGCTTGTTAACCAGTATCCAGGCGCGTCCACATGGAGGGGTCCCGTGGGCAGTTGCCTGGCAGGTCTGGAGCTCAGGAAGGGGAGACCAAACCCTCAGATAGCTTTTTGGAGTCATCACACGACACAGGGTTGGCCTGTTATCTGGAGCGAGTCCTAGTGGGAAGGGCCAAGAGGGCGTCGGTTCGTCTCCGGGAGCTCACCTGCCATGCCAGCAGAGGTTTTCCTGTGGCTCCTTTAAAAACACTGCTGGAGCACACTGCTTTCAGCGACATGTGCAGAAAAGGCTTTGTTTTCGAAACTCACGTCCTGTGTTCTCTGTTCCAGGTGTGTGTGTGTTGGGGGGCCGAGGGGGCTAACTTCTCTGAGGAGAAGAGGGAGACGTAACCAGTAGCCTCCTCTTTCCGTTAGAGTTTCTTACGTGGTGACGTCAGATCAGCAAACTCTTGGTCAACCTGGTAGCAGTTTCTGCCCTGAGGGACCATCAGATTTCCAGAAATGACTGTTTCTTTGCACTTTGATGCTGGGACCCAGCCCTCCTTACTCATGAGGGCTAAGTGGGGTCCCTCCTGGTCTATTTATAGCAGTAGGATGAGTGGGAGGGGAAGGTTTCCAATTAAAGCATGAGTTCCCCCAAGTCATTCAACTTTGACCTTGCATGGGTTTGCAACAGACAGACTTCCACGCTGTAGCTAAGTTAACGTTCCCAGGCGTCCCCCCGAGCACGGTGCCGCTGGAGGACTAGGCGGGTCGGTCTGCGTCTGGATGGACAGACCCAGCGGGATTGGGGTGCGCTGATAGATAACCCCCTTGTGAACACTGGCTCTGACGGACGCCAGCAAGCCGCTCTCCAGGCTGCTGGGCAGTCAGGCTGGCCGAAGTGTCTGGTTCCTAGAGCTCAGGGTGGCTCTTGTCCACACTCCCTAGGCCTCCTGCGTGGGGCCAGCCCTGTGACGTGGGCTGTAGTCTGGCTTCTGGCCCCGTGATGCAACCGACTTGGTTTCTGGCAAGTCAGGAGAAGGGCCATCTGCCCGTGCGTGGCCAGATGCCCGCTTCCTGTGGGGGCTCCGCGGGCCGGGCCTGGCGTCACCTGCGGGAATCGGATCCATCACTTCCGGGCAGGCCCGGTCTTGCGTTAGTCAGGGCTGCCCGGCCCGGGCGCAGGAAGTCCGGTACCTGCAGGTAGTTTCTCGAGCCTTTCTCAGGAAGTGTTATGACTGTTGCTCTTTTCTCATTACTTCACTTTTTTTTTTACATTTCACTGTATGGCTGGGGGGCGGGGAGAGCTTTTCTTAAAATCGTAGTTTCTGAAAACATGGCATCTAGTGAGCTCAGTTTCTTTTAAAAACTTCCTTCTTTTCTGGTTCATTTGCACGGATGTGGGGGGGGACCCAAGCCACAGAGCTTGCCCCACAAGTCTTAGCGTTCCCACAGTTCGCGGAGCTTCAGACCACGGCGCGGAGCCCGCAGTGGGGACACTTGGCCAGTGCGGGGGCGCGGACTCCTGGCCGTCCTGCGGTCAGTGTCCGAGCCCAGCCTCGGACCTCGCCGTGTGCTGGTCCCGAGCCCACGTGCCCTGCTTTGGAGGAACCTGGGCGGTTGCTCACTGCGCCTGCTGTCTGCGCCGAGTGGGAGGGAGCTCCGGGGACTCAGGCTGTTGTCACACAGCCCGAAAGGGAAATGCAGGGTGTGCCTGTGATCCCAGGGCCAGTCAGCATCGGTCTGTGAACTGGAGGACTCCTGTCCTGTCAGGAAAGTGAGGGGAACTGCCTTCCGTTCCCTGTCCACAGCATCTCAGCTGCTTCCTGCTGGCTCGTGTCCCATGCCATGCACGGGGAGGGGGGCAGGCTGCATTGTCCTGTGTGGCCAGGTGGGCTTCCGCTGCCCTCGCTCAGTGGCGGAAAGCCTGACACCATGTGGCCGAGCCTTCCCCGAGAGCCAGGCGCCCTGGGGGTGCCGGAGCCTGCCCTTTGGAGAGGGTGCCAGTCCCTTCGCACCTTGGCGAGTGGGGGCTGGGGGTTGGTTTGCATTGTCT